TATAATGTTAACATTTCAAAATAAATAAATAAATAAATAAACCTGGAGCAGTCTTTGAGGTCTAAGAGTGTTTGTAGGCATTTTTCTTCCATCTAGCCACACAATGTTAGACGAGATCAGGTGCATTCAGGGTGGTATGGCCATAGACTAGTCACACAATGTTAGAGGCATCCTAGTAATTGTGTTTATACACGTCCTTGATGAACTGTCATGTGTGTTTCTGTAGGATGATGCTGATGTGGAGTGGAAATTTGCAAGGGCCAAACTTTGGTTTTCCTACTTTGAGGAGGGGAGAACACTTCCTGTTCCCTTCAACCTGGTGCCAAGTCCAAAGTCCCTGTTTTATCTGTTACTGAAGCTTAAAAAATGGATTTCTGAGCTGTTCCAGGGTCATAAGAAAGGTTTCCAGGAGGATGCAGAAATGAACAAGGTAATCTGGCTTGATAATTTATAATTGTATTCTCAAGTGCTGTGACCATTGTAAGCACTGTGCCACATCCCTTTAAAAAGAAGCAGTTCAGGATGGCATATCATCCACTCCCAAAGGTAGTCACTTAACACAGCCTAGTTCTTTGGCTTGTGTCTGCTTAATATGAGCTCATTGAACATTTCATACTTAAAAGAATATTTTAAAAGATTCATGAAATATGACTAAACTAATGTGTTATATTATCTGGAGTGAGTACTGAAAGGGGGAGCTATTTTGGGCCCCATTTTTGCTGTTGTGGCCACATGTCCCTCATTTCACCTTCAATTTATAGAGCTAGGTAAAGCATCGGCAGCTGATTATGACTCAGGGGAACTTGACAGACTCTTAAGTAAGTTCTCCATTGAAAAATTCAGAAATTAGTTGCTCACATGCAGTATGGGAGACCAGACTCAGCAGTAAGTAGTTCAGAAAAGAAATCTCTAAAGACACTAATTGAAAACGATAATCCCACAAGGCAATGCAACCTCAAGAAACCACAAAAAAGATCCAGTGCTTAGATGTGGAGGCAGGATGATCACAGTCTGTTCAGCTGTGTTTAGAGAACATGTTGTATGTAACTGGAAGTGGGAAGTGGGGGCTTACCGTGTGCAACCATCTCTGCTGTGTGCAAAACACTCTACCCAGAGGAGCACTGAGACACTAGGTGCATCCAGAGGAGGACCAGGATGGGGACATGTATGGATATAGTGTCATATGAGGGGGAATTGTAGGAGCTGGCTGTTTCTTCTGGGGGAAAAAAAAAGATTGAAGGGGAACAAGAATATCTTTAGAATTCCCACCTTTGATTAGAGAATATACTTGCTTTTTTGTTCCTTCAAAAATAAAAAGAGAGGTAATGGTAAAAGTTTCAAATAGTTCAATTTTAGTTCCATGTAAGAACAAACTTGTAGCAGTAAGATCTGCCCAACAGAGCGGTGGGCCGCCTTTGAAAGTAGCGAGCGTCCCATCATTGTAGGTAATCGATAAATGCTGGATGGTGGATCCTACACTGGGTGGACGACTAGTCCAAATGATTATAAAGTTTCCTTGCAATGATAAGATTCTATATCTAAAAGGGAAACATTCTAATCGTGCTCAGTTTGCCATTTACTGCTTGGGATTCTCAAGTAAGTAACAAACTCTTTTGAGTTCTAGTTTCCTCAACTGTAATATGAGAATAAAAATTATATCTACATTGTGAAGATCAAATCAAATAAGTATGTAAAAGTGCTTTGAGAATTCTAAAGCCCTCTTTAAATGTGCTTATTACCATGGGTATTTTGTGTAGGAATTTTGGAAAAGTTTGCCATCTACAGCATTCTTCTGGATGTATAACTTGTAGAACTCAGTGGAGTAGCAAACATTTCCCTTACTTTACTTAATGTAATTAAGTATGTAGTTTACAGGTCTGATTAGAACTGCACCTGAGAGAATTCAGTGTCCAAAGGAAATGTCCCAGCACTTGCCAAAGGGAAGGACCCATTAAGAATGTATTTCTCTCATTAGAACTTGTTGGGGAATTAGACCAGATGGTTTTTCAAATATGAACTAAAGAATGAAACTGGCTATGCAACTGTACTCATTTTACTATCTATCCTTAAAAGAGAAATGAAGAAAAGAAATTTGGAATTTTAGGAAGTCATGAAGATCTTTCAAAATCAGCACTTGACAAAAAACAGGTAAGGTAACATTTGAAACTATGAAGTCGTGCACATGATCAAGCTTATCTTTTCAGAGAAGCGGGCAAATGTTCAGAAACAATTTCAAAAAGTAGATAAAAGACACATTAAAGAATTTAACTATTTTAATAATTCTCAAAGAATTGCTCACTGAGAGGTGGAAGTAAGCCTATATCTGGATTAGCAGAAAGAATTGCATGCATATTTAAGACATTAAGCATATACTTATGGGTACTTATGGTGATGAAATATAAAACTAGTAATGTGAAGAAGGGAAAATTAAAATAAGAGAGGAATCTGTCAGGAACCTGATGGAGGATATGATTAACTTAGCTCCCTGCAGCTCAGACGGAGAGCGTGCATGGCCAGCAGTGCCTCCTTATTTTTCAGTAATCGTGAAGCAGTAGAAAAAGGCACCGTAGGACTTTAATGGCTATTGTGGTTGACACAGTTAATAATGAACAATGTGCCCTAAAGATACATCAGCTCCTTAATTAGGAGCAACAAAATCTTCAATGATGAGGACATTTGCTTCCTTTCTTGCAGCATGCACATAGTAGGGGGGCAGTAAATGCTTGTTGCTAAAGGGAAATGACAAAAGGATGATTTAGGAAAAGGGTAATGTATCAGGTAGGACTTGCATTCAATTGCACATAGAAAACTAAAACCCAAATTACAGTGTTTTAAACAAGACAATTTTTTCTCCCCCTTCCTTACTTAACTCTCTAGAATTAGGCAGTATGGGGCTGTTGTCAGGGTTGAGTCTCTGTGATTCTCCTAGATTTTTTGTCATAGTCAGATGTAAGGTAACAGCTTCACCTCTAGCCATTACACCCACTTTTCAGGCATGCAGAAGGAGTAAGGGAAAAGGAAAAGTGAGGCTTGCTAGCTGAATCTGCTGCCACCCTTGGAAGCACCTCCCAACAATTTCTGTTACCTTATCTTACTGGCCAGAGCTGAGCTGCACAGCCACCCTATGGAACACAAATGCCAGGGAGAGAGGCCAGTTTGTTTTGTTTTAAGCTGGATTTGTTACCTCCTCCAACAACATAGGAATCCTCTTAAGGCCTATCGTATATCCAGCCTCTTAGCTTTCTTTCTAACCATCCCTGCCACAAATGTGTCAACCTTCCCCATTTCAAATCAGAACACAAGAGAGAGCTTCAGGATAGGAGAAATCCTTACCGGTAGCTCTACTAAGATTAGGAGGTTTGATGGGAAGAACTTCCAAAGAAAAACATCACAGGCAGGAAGGGCTGCAGTGGGAGGTGGCAGGTGGGCGTAGACCTATTGGCAGAATCTTGCTATTCAGACAAGATTTCTTTGTTTTGCTTGTGGGATACCAGGTGAATCCAGATTACATTTAAAAATGGTTCAGATAAGGGAAAGTTATGAAATGGGACATAACTAATACAACAGAGCTATGAAGTCAATTTCACTCTAGAAAGGATAGCTTGGTGGTTAGGAGGCTAGTGTAGGGTCAACAAGCCACAGCCCTCAGCCACATTCTGTCTTCACCCTGTTTATGTTGGGACTGAGAGTTAAAGAGTTTTTTTATTTTTGTTTGTTTTTTACATTTCTGAAGAGTTGTGAAAAAAAAAAATAAAGAATAAGTGACAGAGACTGTATGTGGCCCACAAAGCCTAAAATATTTATTATTTAGTTCTTTACAGAAAAAGCCTGCCAGCCCAGTCTCATGGTAATGGTTGTCATGAATAGAATACTGAAGAAACACAGAGAATTAAGTTCAAATATTTTATAAGCAATTTCTATCATTATAATGCATGGCAGTGTGTGTTCTACTTCGTGCTGTCTCACTAAGGCTATTTACTCATTTGGGGAATGTAGGCAGGAATTATGCTAACATCCCAAGGTTGTTTTTAATATTAAATTAGTT